TTTCATGAAGACTTACTATCATGAGAACAGCAAAAGGGGAAATCTACCCCCATGATCCAATCACCTCTCACCAGGTCTGTCCCCAACACTGGAAATTACAATTCGACATGAGATTTTGGCAGAAACACAGAGCTAACCCATATCATTCTATCCCTGTCCCACCCCCAAATCTCATATTCTTCTCATATTGCAAAATGCAATCATGCCTTCCCAAGAGTCCCCCGAAGTTTTAACTCATTCCAGCATTAACTCAAAAGTGCAAGTCCAAAGACTCATCTGAGACAAGGCAAGTCCCTTTCACCTATGAGTCTGTAAAATCAAAAGCAACTGAGTTACTTCTGAGGTACAATGGAGAGTACAGGCATTGGGTAATTTCCCCTATTCCAAAAGGGAGAAATTGGTCAAAACAAAGGGGCTACAGGTCCTATGCAAGTCTGAATACCAGCAGGGCAGTCATTAAATCTTAAAGCTCCAAAATAATCTTCTTTGACTCCATGTCTCACATCCAGGTCACACTGATGCAAGGGGTCGGCTCCCAAGGCCTTGGGCACTCCACTCCTGAGGCAGAGCAGGGTACAGCCCCTGTGGCTGCTTTCACAGGCTAGCATTGAGTGCCTGTGGCTTTTCCAGGCACACGGTGCAAACTAACTGTGGACCTATCATTCTGGAGTCTGGAGGATGACCCCCTTCTCACAGCTCCACTAGGCAGTGCCCCAGTGGGGACTCTGTGTGGGGGTTCCAACCCCACATTTCCCCATCACACTGCCTTAGTAGAGGTTCTCCACGAGGGCTCCACCCATGCAGCAGACTTTTGCCTGGTTTTGCCTGGACGTCCAGGTGTTTCCATACATCCTCTGAAATCTAGGCAGAGGCTCCCAAACTTCAACTCTTGCCTTCTGTGCACCCACAGATCCAACACCACGTGGAAGCTGCCAAGGCTTGGGACTTGCACCCTCTGAAGCAATGAACCAAGCTGTACATTGGCCCCTTTTAGCCACAGTTAGAACTGAAGCAGCTGAGATGCAGGGTGCCAAGTCTTGAGGATGCAGAGAATAGTGGGGTCCTGGACCCTGGTCCACAAAACCATTTTTCTCTCCTAGGTCTCTAGGCTTGTGATGGGAGGGGCTGCTGTGAAAGTCTCTGAAATGCCCTGCAGGCATTTTCTTCATTGTCTTGGCTATTAACATTCAGCTCTTCTTTACTTATGTACATTTCTGCAGCCTTTGATTCCTGCCAGAAAATGGGCAGCAAATTTTCAAAACGTTCATGCTCTGCTTCCAGTTAATATAAGTTACAGTTTTAGGTAATTTCTTTGATTATGCAATTGAGCGCAGACTTTTAGAAGCAGCCAGGTGACTTCTCCAATGCTGTGCTGCTCAGAAATTTATCCTGCCAGACACTCTAAATAATCTCTCAAGCTCAAGTTCTGTCTCTCACAGATCTCTAGAGCAGGAGCACAATGCTGCCAGTCTTTTTGCTAAAGCACAGTGAGAGTGACCTTTACTCCAGTTACCAATAAGTTCCTCATCTCCATCTGAGACTACTGCAGCCCAGACTTCCCTGTCCATATTATTAGCATTTTGGTCACAACCATTTAAGTCTCTAGGAGGTTCCACACTTTCCCTCAACTTCCTGTCTTCTTCTGATTCCTTCAAACTGTTCTAACCTCTGCCCATTACCCAACTCCAAAGTAGCTTCAGGTATCTTTATAGCAGTGCCTCACTCCTGTTACCAACTTTCTGTATTAGTCCATTCTCACACTGCTGTAAGGAACTACCTAAGACTGGGTAATTTATGAAGAAAATAGGTTTTATTGACTCACAATTCCACAGGCTGTACATGAAGCATGGCTGGGAGGCCTCAGGAAACTTACAATCATGGCAGAAGGTGAAGAAGTAAGCATGTCTTACCATGGCAGAGCAGGAAAGAGGGTGAATGAAGGAAGTGCTACACACTTTTAAACAAGCAGGTCTCATGGGAACTCACTATCATGAGAACAGCAAGGAGGAAATCTGCCCCCATGATCCATTCATCTCCTACCAGGTCCCTCCCCTAACAGTGGGAATTACGATTTGACATGAGATTTGAGTGGGGACACACAGCCAAACCATATCAGATTCTGTTTTGAGACAGGGTCTTACTCCATTATCCAGTCCACAGTACCGTGGTGTGATCACAGCTCACTGTCGCCTCCAACTCCCAGGCTTAAGAGATTCTTCTGCCAGGCCGGGCGCGGTGGCTCAAGCCTATAATCCCAGCACTTTGGGAGGTCGAGACGGGTGGATCATGAGGTCAGGAGATCAAGACTATTCTGGCTAATACGGTGAAACCCCGTCTCTACTAAAAAATACAAAAAAACTAGCCGGGCAAGGTGGCGGGTGCCTGTAGTCCCAGCTACTCGGGAGGCTGAGGCAGGAGAATGGCGTAAACCCAGGAGGCGGAGCTTGCAGTGAGCTGAGATCCGGCCACTGCACTCCACACTCCAGCCTGGGCGACAGAGCGAGACTCCATCTCAAAAAAAAAAAAAAAAAAGAGATTCTTCTGCCTTCTTCCTGACTCTCCCTCCTGAGAAGCTGTAACTTAAGGCACATGCCATCACACCTGGCTAATTTTTACATTATTATTTGCAGAGATGGGGGTCTTGCTATGTTGCCCAGGCTGGTCTTGAACTCCTAGGCTCAAGCAATCCTCCTGCGTCAGCCTCCCGAAGTGGTAAAATTACAGGTGTGAGCCACTGTGCCCATTCAGACATCTTCCCTGGATCCTACAAACAAGGAAAGGGAGAAGCCCAAGGTCAGAGGGCTCAGGGGATCCTGATTTAAGTTGGGTCAAGGAGAGTCTGCAGTGCACTTTTCTGTATGTGGGCTATACTCAAATGCAAACACAAGTCAGCCTGGTCCCCTTTCATCCATCAGCACACCCTGAGACACAGCACCACCCCATCCTGACTCCAAAGGGTTCAACCAGAGTCCCTGCTGGTCCTCCATGCTCACGCACGTCTCACCATGAGATCACCATATCCGAATGTGTGTGGGGGCCTTTATTTCTCTAAATGCTCTTTCAGGGCCCCTCTTCCCTTCTCCACTCTATGCCTCCATTACCCACCTACTCATTCCTCTCTCAGGACTGGCTGCCCACCCTGCCCATGACACAGCTAACAGAGGCCTACCAAGGTTGGCTGCCTCATAGGAGAGAGCAAGTGCCATGGAGGCCACAGCTGATATCGGACAAAAGAGAAGACACACATGGAAGGAGGCATGGGTGCTTGAGGCACTGGCTGGCCTGAGGGTCCAGACCTCAGAATACCAGCACCATGGAGACACCACATCACACACACATGAACCTTGATCCAGCTAATACAATGGGCCTGGCAAACACCAGTCCTGGACTAACTCATCACTAATCTTCACTATCATCACACCTGTCCCTTCCCCCAGGAGAGGAAATTGTCTAGAGGCAAAATCCCAAGGGGATCCCCTCATGGGGCTTCAAGGCTGTGTCATCCACATTGACTGGCTTTTACTCGGCCAGCACTGCACTGCCTCAGAAGGGCCACTCCAAAGTCATCCCAAATTTTCCTACAGGCTTCCTGTTCTCCATTCTCTGAGACTCACTCTCTCTTCTACACGGATACCCCCTTATAACCCAAGTCCCAAAGAAGGAAGTTACTCTCATGCCCTGGGCTTTGGGATGCCGATTCCAGAGATACTACTGCCCAATGCCCCTCCATCCACACTTACAGCTTCCCTGTTGCCCTGATCCAGTCCTTACTACTAAAGGTCCAGAGAAACCCCAAATTAACCTTTTGGCTTCACTTTTTAATTTATTACCAAATTATTATGCCAACAAGTATCTGTAACAGAGAAAAAACATGATACAAAATTCCAGTCCCCAAAGAAAACCACATTTTATTTCTCCATCATCCACTTTCAACCCACATCCATATGTGCACATATCTTTACATGGCTGTAATAATAGTAAATCTTTTATGTTATGCCCCTTTTTGCCATATTATAAACATTTTCAACATGGCAGTAAAACCTTTATAATGGTTTACAGTGGCTGAATCAGAAGCATCCTAAATGAACAACCATGGAGGTAGTGGTGGGGTGATAACAAAAACATAACAAGTCAGTATTTTTGCTTCAACAACTAAAGCAACAAACCACATCTGTTGGAAGCAGTCCTTTCCATCTTAGCAAAAGCTTGTTTCAGTCTTTTTTTTCCTCTCTTGAGATGGAGTCTCGCTCTGTCACCCAGGCTGGAGTGTAGTGGTGCACTTAGCTCACTGCAACCTCCGCCTCCCAGGTTCAAGCAATTCTCCTGCCTCAGCTTCCCAAGTAGCTGGGATTACAGGCACACACCATTATGCCCAGCTAATTTTCTGTATTTTTGGTAGAGATGGGGTTTCACTACGCTGGCCAGGCTGGTCTTCAACTCCTAACCTTATGATCCAGCCGCCTCCGCCTCCCAAACTGCTGGGATCACAGGCATGAGCCACCATACCCGGCCTGCTTGTTTCAATCTTAAGAGGAACAACTTCATTGTTCATTCACAGGTAATTTATTCACCTAGTTTACCCTCCTGCAACAAGTCCTCAGCATTATTGCAGAAGTATAATGCAGACATACATTCAAACAGGAAAATCTCACATTCTGTGGCAGTGTACGGTACAGCACTGTGTGGACTCTCTCATTGTACACCTTTGTTGATACAGAAAACACAGTAAGAGCCCCTGCCAAAGCCTCTCTTTCTGATTACACTTAAAAAGGTTGATTCAGGCCGGGCACCGTGTCTCACGCCTGTAATCCCAGTGCTTTGGGAGGCTGAGGTGGGTGGATCATGAGGTCAGGAGTTCAAGACCAGCCTGGCCAACACAGTGAAACCCTGTCTCTACTAAACATACAAAAAATTAGCCAGGCATGGTGGCAGGCACCTGTAATCCTAGCCACTTGGGAGGCTGAGGCAGGAGAACTGCTTGAACCTGGGAGGCAGAGGTTGCTGTGAGTGGAGATCGTGCCACTGCACTTCATCCTGGGTGACACAGCTAGACTCTGTCTGGAAAAAAAAAAAAAAAAGTTGATTCAGTGTTTGCTGATGCACAAGGTGGAAACTCCCTACTACAGGGCTCTTCATTCCAATCATGTTCTGAATGCATTCACAGGCTCTCTCTGTAGGAAGTGTCACCCCCATGTTTGTGCGTTTCATTCCAGTGTGTGTGCTGTCATGTCTGGTACAGACTGAATCATCCCCCAGACTTTTCTGCATTTACTACCATCCTAAGTTGTCTCCTGAGTTCCCCAATGAGCAGACTTAACAGTGTGGCTCAGCAATGTCTCACATTCATCAATTCACTGGATAGCTTAAAGGATTCTTTTCTACTGACCAGAGAGGAGTCAGATGTAAGACACGCCTCCTAAACACAGGCATGAGAACTAACTGGAAGACTCATGTGGCCCTAAACTATTATGTTTCCATGGGTTGCTCTCCCAGGTGTACTCTTTGATGTCGAACAAGGGATGAGCTCTTTTGGAATGTTTTTCCACACTGAGGACACTGGCTGGGACCCTCCCTGCTATGGAGTCTCTGATGTACTGCCAGGTGAGAGTTCTGCTTGAAGGACTTCCCACATTCTGGACACTGATATGGCGTTTCCTTAGTGTGAATTCTCTGGTGCTTGGTCAGACAGGAGCTGTCCCTGAAGGCTTTGCCACACTGATTACACTCATAGGGCTTCTCACCAGTATGAGTCCTCTGGTGCCTAATGAGGCCAGCGATATTCCTGAAAAGTTTCTGACACTGGTTGCAGCCATAGGGCTTCTCGCCAGTATGAATCCTCTGGTGCCTGATGAGGTATGCACTCTCGATGAAAGTCTTGCCACATTCTTTACATTCATAGGGTTTCTCCCCAGAATGGATCTTTTGATGCACAATGAGGTGAGAGTTTCTGTTGAAGGATTTCCCACACTCTGCACACTCAAAGGGCTTTTCTCCAGTGTGAGTCCTCTCGTGCTGGGTGAGGTATGAGCCATCCCGGAAAGCTTTTCCACATTTGCTACACTCATAGGGCTTCTCACCGGTGTGGATTCTGAGATGCACTGTAAGGTGGGAGATGTCCGTGAAGGGTTTTCCACACTCGTTACATCTGTATGGTTTTTCCCCTGTGTGAGTTCTTTGGTGCAAAATTAAGGATGAATTTCGGTTGAAGGTTTTTCCACATTCCAGGCATTCGTAAGGTTTCTCACCTGTGTGAATTCTCTGGTGCTGCGTCAGAGCTGACCCATCACTGAAAGCTTTCCCACATTTACTACATTTATAGGGCTTCTCTCCTGTGTGGATCCTTTGATGCACAATCAGGTTGTAGTTCTTGGAGAAGGACTTTCCACACTCATTACAAGTATAAGGCTTCTCTCCGGTGTGAGTTCGGTGATGCAAAACAAGAGAAGAGTTCCGTTTGAAGCATTTGCCACATTCAGTACATCTATACTGTTTCTCTCCAGCGAGATTTCTCTGGTTTTCATTAAGCGATGAGCTCAGGGTCAAGATGTCCTCAAAATTCTTACCTTCATACAGTTTCTTGCCTCTTTTCGTTATTTTTTGATGACCAAGAGAGGTAAAATGATTAAAAGACTTAACATTTTCAGGATATTCGTAGGGCTTCTCTCTCACTGGATTTCTTCCATGAATAACTTCCATGGAATGGTTGAAGGTTTTTCCACAGGCATCACTGTCACCAGTTCTCTTAGCTGCATACCTTTTAGGACAGCTGGGTAAGGCAGGGTCACAATCCAGACCACTAACATTTGAGTCATGTGCATGGAAACCATTGGTTGCCAGAACTCTCTGAGATGGTGGAAGGTCTGAGCTTGCAATCAAATGCTCCCCAAAACCAGGATATTCACAGATTGCTTCCTGAGTCCCTGGTTTCTCCAGAGTTAAAGCTGATTGACTCAAGTGTGCCTCCTGGTTCTCACAGTCCCAACCATCACCTAAAATGGACAAGCAGGGAGCTTCCCTTGTGAATCCTTCCATTTCTACATCACAGGGTACTTCTCTCTCAGGAATATTCCGAGTTGTCATTTTCAATCTCATATCCCAAACTGCAAAAAGAAAAATGCAGGCTTAGGTACATGAAGCTCTATCTGTAAGAGAAAGAGACAATGATGATGGGCTAGGTGTGAAGATTTTTTTTTTTTTTACTTGTTTTCTCTTTTAAATTCAAATGTATACATGGAAGAGGTAAAATGATAGCCAAGGAATGGAACCAAGAACAGATTTCAAAAGAGCCATGTAGCATTTTCATCTTCCTAGAGAGCGGGCAGGAGGAAGGGTCCTGGGGATAAATCATCACCAAAAGGATTAGTTTGAGATGTGGGAGACCAGAGGCCAAGCATCCCTGCTCCCCCTAGAATTCCATCCCAGCAACTGCATTCTTGTCCCTGTCATACACTGCCCATCAGTACACATTTCCAAAGCTCTGACTTCACAATGAGCTTACAACAGCACTGAAGTAGCAATTCTCACCCCAGCTCTGTGATCAAAGTTCTGCATTCATGGATAGGACAAAGCACAGGCTTGGTGACCTAAAAGTTCTGGGTCTAAGTCTTAGAAGTGTCAATGACCTAGTGGGGCACAGTGGTTCACGTCTGTAATCCCAGCATTTTGGGAAGCCGAGGCAGGTGGATCATTTGAGGTCAGGAGTTCGAGACCAGCCTGACCAACATGGTGAAACACCGTCTCTACTAAAAATACAAAAAAATTAGCCAGGCATGGAGGCACATGCCTGTAGTTCCAGCTACTCTACAGGCTGAGGCAGAAGAATTGCTTCAACCTGGTAGGCGGAGGTTGCAGTGAGCTGAGGTCGCACCACTACACTCCAGCCTGGGCAACAGAGTGAGACTCCATCTCAAAAAACAAAACAAAACAAAACAAAAACTGTCAATGACTGCCCTGCAGGGTTGTTATAAAAAATGGATCATGTCAGCCAGGTGCGGTGACTCACGCCTGTAATCCCAGCACTCTGGGAGGCTGAGGGAGGTGGATCACGAGGGAGGTGAGGTGACAGAGTGAGACTCCATCTCAAAAACAAACAAACAAACAAAAACAAACAAAAAACAACTGGATCATGTATGAAGCAGTCTCCAAGGCTAGGGGATGAAGGGCATTCTGGAAATGGCTGCATGTGTCTTCATGCATATCAATCTTCCTGTCACCATCCCTTGTCCACTCAGACTTCACAATATTAAGACAAGTGGTTGTCCATTCATTCATTCGTTCATTCATTCGGTGGGATGGGGTCTTGCTCTGTCATCCAGGCTGAAGTGTAGTGGTGTAATCTTGGTTCACTGAAGCTTCAATCACAAAAACTTCAAGCAATTATCCCACCTCGGCCTCCCAAAATGCTGCAAATACAGGCATGAGCCACCGTGCCCAGCCTTCTTTCTAAAGGTAAAATGAAAATAGACCCTTGCCTCAGAATACACACATACATATATATCTACATTCTAGGCAATTTAAATATATATACTTGTATATGTGTATATATATGTGTGTGCGTGTATTTAAATTTCAGAATGATACCGGCTGCAACAGAAAGTCGAAGTTTAAATGATGCAGTATGCCGCCATAAGTGTGACAGACTTTGATCAACAAAGCTTAACCAAAAAAACCATATGATCAAGCATTGGGGTCATGCCTGTAATCCTAGCACTCTGGGAGGCTGAGGTGGGAGTTATCACTTGAGCCCACACAGAAGGCTGAGGTTGCAGTGAGCTGTAATTGTGCCACTGCATTCCAGATTGGGCAAAAGAGACCGTGTCTTAAAAACAAAAAACAAAAACCAAAAAATAAAAAACAGACAAGGAATAACAAGTCTGATATCAGCATTCAAATTTTCCGTCCAATAAAAGACACAATAAGGCTGGGCACGGTGGCTCACGCCTGTAATCCCAGCACTCTGGGAGGCCGAGGCAAGTGGATCATGAGGTCAGGAGATCCAGACCATCCTGGCTAACACGGTGAACCCTGTCTCTACTAAAAAATACAAAAAACTAGCCAGGCGTGGTGGTGGGTGCCTGTAGCCCCAGCTACTCAGGAGGCTGAGGCAGGAGAACGGCGTGAACCCGGGAGGTGGATCTTGCAATGAGCCGAGACTGCGCCACTGCACTCCAGCCTGGGTGACAGAGTGAGACTCCATCTCAAAAGAAAAAAAAAAGACACAATAAGAGACAAAATGCAAGTGGCAGACAGGGAGAAAATAAGATTTAAAGGCAGAAAGAATTACTGCCGAAGAGCTATAGAGGATTCTTAGAGAACAGTACAAAAAAAGAAAAAAATGGGCAAAGTAATCAAAGATGTACTTCATGAAGGGAAAATAGAAATATCGTGAAAGCATCGGCCGGGCATGGTGGCTCACGCCTGTAATCCTAGCACTTTGGGAGGCCAAGGCGGGTGTATCACGAGGTCAGGAGATTGAGACCATCCTGGCTAACAAGGTGAAACCCCATCTTTACTAAAAATACAAAAATTAGCTGCTAATTTTTTGTACTTTTAGTAGAGACAGGGTTTCATCATGTTAGTAGCCAGGATGGTCTCGGATCTCCTAATCTTGTGATCTGCCCATCTTGGCCTCCCAAAGTGCTGGGATTATAGGCGTGAGCCACCATGTCCAGCCGATAGGTGGTTTTAAAGGCAAGCAGGGAGAAGACAAACCACCAGTGAATGACAAAAATTATTACAACAGATCACTTAGGAGAAAAACTGGAAAACCAAAGGTAATGGAAGGCTACTTTCAAAGTGCTGAAGGAAAAATCTATCAATCACACTAATTCAAGAGTAAGGGTGAGATAAAGACTGTTTCAGAGGCTGGGTGTGGTGGCTCATACCTGTAATCTCAACACTTTGGTAGGCCAAGGTGGATGGGTCACTTGAGCCCAAGAGTCTGAGACCAGCCTGGGCAACATGGTGAAACCCATGACACAAAAATCAGCAGGGTGTAGTGGCATGCGCCTGTTAGTCCCAGCTACTTGGGAGGCTGAGGCAGGAGAACTGCTTGAGCTCTGGGGATTGAGGCTGCGGTAAGCTATGATTCACTCCAGCCCGGACAACAGAGTGAGACTCTGTCTCAAAAAAAAAAAAAAAATTCAGAAAAGCAAAAGCAGAGTTCATTTCCAAGGATACTAGTCAGAGGAATTAGAAAATATTGGTCTTCAAAAAAAACCCCAAGAATGAAGGAAGGAAAAACAAAGGAATTGATGAATATGATGAATGTGGGCTAGGTGTGGTGACTCACACACCTGTAATCCCAGCACTTCAGGAGGTTAAGGTGGGGGATCACTTGAGTCCAGGCATTTACGACTAGTCTGGGCAACATAGTGAGATGTCATCTCCTTAAAAAAAAAAAAGTTGATGAATGTATATATTTTTTTATTTTTTATTTTTTTGAGACGGAGTCCCGCTCTGTCGCCCAGGCTGGAGTGTAGTGGCCGGATCTCAGCTCACTGCAAGCTCCACCTCCCAGGTTCATGCCATTCTCCTGCCTCAGCCTCCCAAGTAGCTGGGACTACAGACACCCGCCACCTCGCCTGGCTAGTTTTTTTGTATTTTTTAGTAGAGACGGGGTTTCACCGTGTTAGCCAGGATGGTCTCGATCTCCTGACCTCGTGATCCACCCGTCTCGGCCTCCCAAAGTGCTGGGATTACAGGCTTGAGCCACCACGCCCGGCCCGATGAATGTATATTTAAATCAAATCCAATGTTGACCATATGAAATGCAGAAATCATGACTTAGAATTAATGGAATAGACTAATTACTGGACAACAGCGGCCAATGAGGTGGGAATGGGGCAACAAAATCAAGTGTTCCGAAGTCCTCAGGTTTTTCATGATTCATGTTGGACCTGCTCATGTCAGAAATAAAAGAATAAATGTAGTATAAAACTTCTAAGCCCACAGAGCAGTGGTTTTTAACCAGGGATGATTCTATTTCCAGAAGATACTTGGCAATGTTTGGAGATGATTTTGGTTTTCAGTCTGACTAGGGGGCAGATGTTCCCAGGGGCCAGGGATGCTACTAAATATCCTATAATGCACAGGATAGCCTTCCACAACACAAAATGATCCAGCCCCAAATGTCCACAGTACTGAAGTTGAAAAACATTGTAGAGGTCAGAATTAAAAACAAAAACAAACAAACAAAAAACCCGATCAATCCAGAAAGCTGGCACGAGGTAAAAAACAGCACAAAAAGGACAGGCTAAATAGAAAGTATAAAGTAAGGTATCAGCAATTACAATAAACATAAATGGCCTTGATAGGTCAGATAAAGACTGCATTAGACTGTATTAAAAAACATGTTTGTAACAGGCATCCCTAAAGCAAAAAAACATAAAAGCCAAAAGCGAAAGGATGGGACAGGTCAATGCCAACCAAAGAAGGGTTTTATGGCTCTTTACAAATCAAAGAAAAATTTGAAGTAAGGATCACAGGGCAATGTACCAGTAACGATGTGCCTCAAAACACAGAGCAGGCCAGGTGCAGTGGCTCACGCCTGTAATCCCAGCACTTCGGTAGGCTGCGGCAGGCGAATGATCACTTGAGGTCAGAGTTCAAGATCAGCCCGGCCAACATGGTGAAACCCTGTCTCTACAAAAACACAAAAATTAGCCAGGCAAGGTGGCACATGCCTGTGATCCCAGCTACTCAGGATGTTGAGGCAAGAGAATTGCTTGAACCTGGGAGGCAGAGGTTGCAGTGAGCCAAGATCGAGCCACTGAACTCCAGCCTGGGCAGCAGAGCGAGACTCCGACTCAAAACACAAACAAAAACAAACAACAACAACAAAAAATGCAGCAAGGCCAGGTAGGTTTGTAGGAAGAAAATAGCAAATCAAAGCACAGTGGGAAATTTTATTTTTCTGTTTTTTGAGTTTTTTTCCTGATCAAATACTTCAGATTATATTTAAATTTTTAAAAATGTTTTAATGTAATTGTTTAATTTTTATAATGGGGGTCTCAGTATGTTGCCCAGGCTAGCCTCAAACACCAGAGCACAAGTGATCCTCTTGTCTCAGCTTCATGAGTAGCTGGGACTACAGGCACATGCCACTGCAACCAGCCATAGTGGGAGGTTTTATTTTACTTAT